TATAAATTCTATTCGCAACCGGAACCATCCATTTCTAAAAACAGGGGTGTTCTGAACATTTTGGGAAACTTCTGCGGTCACTATGACCTCAGGTCTGTGGTTAAGGGGCCTTGTGTATGTCCCTTAGTACAGGAAGTCACAAATGAGCCCAAAATTTCTGTTGCTAAGGAAGAGTTTTGCCCCATTTCACAACCTTTCTTGCCACAATTGTTAAGTGAATCACTGCAGTTGTTAAGTTAGTGAGATGGTGGTGGAATGAATCTGGGTCCCCATTGACTTTGTCGGAAGGTCACAAAAGGCAATGACATGACCATGGGACACTGCAACCATCATAAATAGGAGCCAGTTGATTACAACCCAGTGTCTGAATTTTGATCATGTGACAATGGGGATGCTACAATGGTTGAAAGTGTGAAAAATAGTCATCGATCCCTTCTTTCCGTGCCATGGTAACTTCAGTCTCCAAACGAATACCGTATTTTTCGGAGTATAAGACGCACCAGAGTATAAGATGCACCAAGGTTTTGAAGAAGCAATTTTTTTAAAAAAAGATTTTTCACTCTGCAAACCTCCCAAAAAGGCCCATTTTTTTTTTTTTTAAAAAGGGCACAAATAGCCCTTAGGAGACTTGTAGAGTGCTCTTTTTGGGGGGGGGGTGCCAAAAGTGAGCAAAAGAAATGAGCCGTTTTTCACAAAAACGGGCCCTTTTTGCCAAAAAAGGGAGCATGGATAACCTTTAGGAAGCTTATAGTGTTCCTGGGGACTGGGGGGCAAAATTGAGCAAAAACAGCCCATTTTTGGTCATTTCTGCCCTCCTCAGCTCCCAGGAGCTCTCTGAAAGCCTTCTAAAAGCTATGCACGGCCATTTTGGTGAAGGGGACGAGGGTTTCGGGAGGCAAAAAATGCTGTATTCAGTGTATAAGACGCAACCAGATTTTCAGCCTCTTTTTTGAGGGAAAAAGGTGCATCTTATACTCTGAAAAATACAATATATATTAAAAGTGTTTTTTAAAATGTCCCTATCTCTTGTGGCATTTGGGCATAAAGCAGAGGGGACTTTGTCCTTCCATGGCTCCAAGTTACAGATTACATTCTGAACCTTTTTTCTGTCCTTCCTCAGAAATGCAAGAGACCGCCAGCAAATATACTGATGATAAGTCTGTTGGCCACTGCTTTACTTTCTTAGTGCTTCCTCATAGTAATTCAGGAGAGTGGGTTGTCAGTCCCTGGCTCCTGGCTCCAAATTTATTGTAACGCGCTATTCATGTAACAAGCCTTCATAATTACACAGAGTAAACTGTGATCCCTATCTGGGAATCGGATGCCAATGTATCTTAAAAATAACAGTACTTTCCACCCTCAAAAACTTCTCTTTTGTCAAAGGCAATATTTTGCAGAATTACAATGCTTCTCTTCTTTGCTTAGGATGCTTTGGTTCTTTGCTTAGGATTCTTAGGATGCTCTGGCAATCCAGATTATTGCAGTTTTTCATATGTACAAATTATTTTAAAAAATTAAAGGAGAATGGCAATTTCAGTAACAAAATTGATTTGGTCAGTGACATTAGTACAGAAAAGCACACAAATAAAACTTATCCACTAATACAGGGCTATCCAACTCACAGCCCGTGGGCTGGATGCATCACATGCTGGACATGGCCACACCCAGTTTAGTGAAAAAGTTGCAACACATCATGTGACGGCACTGTGACGATCTGAGTTTGACACCCCTGCACTAATAGAACTGATCTACTTTGAAATTGAAATAACAATATCATTTTTTATTTGGGAAAATGACTATTAGTTTTGGAAGTATAAAATTTAATATACATGTACTGCACAACTAATCAGTTAGCCAAATAATACCACATCTCTATCTATAGAACTTTTGTGCAGCTTTCAACTTCACAAGAGGATATAAAGTATACATCAGATAGATTAGATTTTTCCCTTTGCTAATTAACAAAGATTGTAATACAGGTAGGTAATCCTTGATTCGCAACCATTCAGTGACCATTCAAAGTTACAACCGCACTGAAAAAAGTGACTCACAACCTTTTTTCATAGTTACAATGACAATAACACTTAGACTTACCATATTTTTGGAGTATAAAACACATCTCCCCCCCCCTAAAAGTGTGTGGAAATATTGGTGCATCTTATAAACCAAATACAGCCATTTTTGGCCTCCTGAAGCCCCATCACTGCTTCCCATTTTTGCAAAAAATGGGCCGTTTTTTGCAAAAACAGCGTTTTTGCCTTCCCCCAGCCCTGCTGAAGCCTGCAGAGTGCTTCTGGGGGCTGAGGAGGACAAAAACTTTTTTTTGTTACTTACCTCTTCGAAATTTGGTACATCTTATACACCAGTTTGTCTTATAATCCAAAAAATACAGTATACACAGCTTCATATGCTTTACAGCCCTCTCTAAGAGGTTTACAGAATCAGCATATTGCCCCCCAACAATCTGGGTCCTCATTTTACCCACCTCAGAAGGATGGAAGGCTGACAACTGCAGCCTTGAACCGGTGACAACCCCATGCATGGTCACCATGATCAAAATTAAGATGCTTGGCAACTGTTCCATATTTATGACGGTTGTGGGGTCCTGGGATCATGTGATCAGCTTTTGAGATCTTCTGACAAGCAAAGTCAATGAGAAATCCAGATTCACTTAACAACCATGTTACTAATTTAACAAAAGAAAGATTCCTGAATGTTTGCAAGTAGCCTATGTCCTGATAAAATGTTTATTTTGTTCATGTTTTTCAATGGATCTGAATTTTCAAATTATGCATTAACTTTTGTACATAAAATCCTTGCATTTGTTTTAGACTTACCCTTATGCTGCTTGTGATGACTCCTATATCAGCTATACTTTACTTATCATTTTGAATAGTAGACAAAATTGTTTTTCTAATAAGCTTTAATCCTAGTAAGGGTGGAGGCGAATTCAGACACGACAGTTCATTCATACAGCTGGAATTCCTATAACTGATATTCATCGTGATTAGGAAGAAAAGTTGCTACGGTTAGATTTGCCCATGGTAGATAGCAGAATTCTGGATTACAGTAAATACATTGTGCTCCTACTACAGGAAGTAGTTAATTTAAGATGTGGAAAGTTTGTCTTCTAATCTAAGGGAATTTGAGTTGTGGTCTTAAAGACATTTTGATAAATATGCTTAGGATAATAAAGTCCTTCATGGGATTGCCCTATCTTGAGGGATTATTTTACTCCCTGGTTATTCCCAGCCCACCCCATTAGATCTGGCAGAGAAGGCATGTTCTAGGTACCATTCCTAGCACTGCGTAACAGGGTGTGCTCCCGTTACTTGTTCCAGCTTCTGCCAATCTAGCAGTTCAAAAGCATGTAAAAAATGCAAGTGGAAAAATAGGGACCACCTTTGATGGGAAGGTAACAGCGTTCCGTGGGTCTTTGGTATTTAGTCATGACCACGGAGATGTCTTTGGACAGCACTGGCTCTTCGGCTTTGAAATGGAGATGAGCACCGCTCCCTAGAGTCGGGAACAACTAGCACATATGTGCGAGGGAAACCTTTATCTTTAGGTACCATCAACTAGGGATCTGCATTTGGTGGGTGCCAGGAGAAGTGCCTTCTTTGCCATGGTCATCCTTACCCCCAAAATTAGATCATCTCCATTTCCTTTTGACATAAGAGTCGTCAAAACCTGATTTTGTTGTTGAACCTGGAACTCTCAAGTAATTGAAGATTTGTTTAGCTGATTTCATTGTTCAGCTGGCCATTTTTAGCCTCTTCAGCTAGAGGTTTGTATACTTGTTTTTTTATACTACTTATTTTGTTTAATGTAGATTTTTATATTTTTTTTATCTCTTATTTTTTATCTATTTTATTTTTTTTATCCAATTGTTACATGCCACCCAGAATCACTTTTGGTGAGATGGTCTGCTATACAAATCATTGATTCAAACAGAGTTTAGGTGTGACTGTCTGAAAATGGACATCTAAAGAATCTGCAAATACTGCTCTAGAGTAGAATTTGATTAAATTGTTGGATTTGGGGTTCCTGCAAATAAAGGGCTAAAGTTCTTATGAGAGAATGCAGGTTTATGGTAAAGTCCTTTGTTGTCCTCTCCATGACAATGTGACTTTCAAGAGCTTGCCACTATGAATATAATTTCATGGCATAATTTACTCTGACCAATACATCTGCTTTCCTTAGGAGATTTCCCCCCCAAAAAATAATTGCATATGGAAATACACTGATAAGTAGTTATTGAAAGCAAGATAATTAGAATAGATGCAAACATAGGTAGATCTTTGATGACTTTGAAAATTAACTGCACTTTGGCAGGTGTTGTTTACTTGGTGAATTTAACTCTTTTGTAACTTCTGAGCATGGTCCTTTCTTTTTCCCTTTCCTGTGTAGCTGCCTTTTCCCCCTTTTGAAATTATTTATTATTTTTGGCGGTTTCTGTTGAAAAGGGACCTATGTGAAAGTGTGTGAATATTTGTGTGTGTTTCTGTGAGAGTGATTAGTAAGTGAAACAATTAACTTTTAAGTGGTTATATTTTGAAAGCAATTAATTACTACAACTTTGTCTTCTGTCTCTCATCTATTTCCTGATCCCATATGTATATGTATAATTTGGGTATATGGATATAATGCATATACATATCCTGGGCAATGAATGGTGAGGAACAAATTTTCAAAACTGGTTTTAGCTGACATTAACAAACCAACAGGATCCAAAGCAGGCAATGCAAAGCATGTTGCCTTTGTATTCACAGGTTTTTTTAATCTATTTTTTTCTTAAATAATCATCTTAAATTCAGAGTCGCCTTTCGAGTAAAGCAAGTAACATTGTTACATTGTACATCATGTATACAACCAATTTTGTTGTATACATGATGTACAATAACAATAAAGGCTATACTAAGTTACTAAGCTATATCTCTTATCTGCAAACCTGTATGTGTGTTTTTCTTAATATCTCCTTCTAATTTTCTTTTCTGCAGAATTTCGGGAATGTTGCAGTTGATCTGAAATACCCATATTGCCTCTGAAGAAAAGAACACCCAGAGAACATTTACAGTTGGATATTTTTAATGTTCATGAGATGTCTCCTAGAACTGTTCTCCTGATGCCATGGATATTCTGCTTCTTAAAGGACTGGTGTTGGTCTTGGTCAGTTGTTTTACTGGGCTTCTTTACTACCGTCCCACTACCATTTTTTTTAACTGGGAAAGAACAGTTTACAAGAAACCAAATTTCATAGTAATTTTGGCAGACGATGTAGGATGGGGAGATTTTGGAGCCAACTGGGACCTACAAAAAGACACACCTAATTTGGATAAGATAGCCCAGGAAGGAATGAGGTGAGTTTCAAACCATTCTTTTATCATTTACATTTATTTACCATGTATTTAGAGAGTGTAGACAATTGTTTAATGCTACAGGATTTTAAGATTGTGTGCCTATAATTGTGCATTTTTGTTTTCTTATTGATTTATCACATTTGCATTGTGCACAATCAAAAGCGTACTTTCAACAGCTTATAAAAGAGATGGCGAAACTTTTTTGCCTCGGGTGCCAAAAGGCGGCACAGATATGTGCTATTGTGCATGCATGCGTGCCCACACCAATAATTTAATCCCACCCGTGCCCCATGCCACTGTGCATGTGTGCATGACACCCCCACCCCCCTGCGCTGCCCTGCACATGCATACATGGCTTTTTTGGAGCCTGAGGAGGTCGAAAAAGGCCTTTCATGCTCTCCCGGAGGGCCCCCAGAGACCAGAAACGGCCTGTTTCCTGACTTCCATTGGGCCCGGTAGTTCCGTTTTTTGCTTTCCTAGAGCCTGGGGAGGTGAAAAGGCCTCCCCTCCTGCCCGGGAGGCCCTCTGGAGGCTGAAAACACCCTCCCAGTGCCTCTGTGCGAGCCCTGTACTTACCTGGCATGCATGGAGACTCCTGAGAAGGGAAAGGCAGAGTGGATGGGCCAGCCAAAAATCAGCTGGCCAGTGTGCACATGCGCACTGGAACCGAGCTAGGGCAACAGCTCGCATGCCCGCTGATATAGCTCCACGTCCACCTGTGGCACACATGCCATAGGTTCACCATCACGGGCTTATAACATAAAGTATGTCAAAATGAGAGGGTAACAATAAATTTGGAAGATTCATAAAACTTAAATTAAAAAATACATAAACATTCCAGACAGCATGTTGTATCAGCCCCCTGTGGAAAAACTGTTTTCAGCAATCTTCAGAAAGCAACTAGAATTAGGGCCAAACACACTTCCCACAGGAGACCATTCCAGAGATCAACCCAATGGTGGGAGAAAATGGCTCTGGGCTTCACCCACCTTCATGACCTCCCCTAAATGGGAGGAAAACCCACTGCTTCTTGCGGCATGATCGAAATGGTTGGGCAGAGACCCAAAAATCAGTTGGCCAGCGGGAAGCACATACGCAGTGGAATTGAGCTGAGGTAACGGCTCGTGCGCCCTCAAAGTGGGCTATGTATGCCACCTGTGGCACGCGAGCCATAGGTTCACCATCACGGGTTTAGGGAGTACCTTTATCTCTCCCATTCTGTGAAATGGTTAAAACTATTATGCTATCAAAGCTGAATTCATGATCAGCATCCATCCATATTTTATTTTTATTTTTGTTTACTCTGTTCTCCTCTTTTACTTTTGCTTTATTGTTCATCATCCAGAGTCATAATCCATGGGAGAATATCAATAATTGTCATAACAATGAAATTGTATTCATATTCATTAATTGGGTAAGTTTATTCTTTTGTCCTGGTTTTGCTCTTTTCTGGTGTATCCTTGCAGAAGATGAATGATCTAGAAACATGAAATATGAATAAATATCCACAATAGATGTACACACAAATATTGTTATATGCATATATTTATTGGCAGTGAGATGAGAAATATTCATGATTGATTTCATCAAGAGATGGCAGCCCTAAGTTAACCAGTGCATAAGAAAGGTATTGCATAGATTTTTCATGTGGATTAACACATTTTTTCTATTGCTATTTTTTTCTCACTGTCTACTCCATTTTTTGTGTGCAAAATTCAATGTCATATTCATTTGGGGCAAACGTTGGTGTCATCAACATCATTATCATCTAAACTTGTATGCTGCCCAACTCTCAACATCTCTGGGTGGCATATGCAGTATTTGGAAGAGTTAAAGAGCCATTTCCAATATTTTACTGGCACAAGTGGCACATCCTCCCCACCATCCCCAATACACCGTCTTTAAAACTGTAACTTGCTTAATAACTTGCACTTCTCTAAATCTGGGAGACAGTTAATTTGAACTACAAAGGCTAATTGTGAGACGTGATTTAATTCCAGAGGCTGTAATGCTTTGTAGGATGTACCAATAATTTATTGCTTCTCTAAAGACGTCAATTCTAGCTATTTAAAACCCCCTCAGGCGAATGGTCAAACAAGGAGTTGAGATAATCCTAGTGATTGGGACTTCTGTTTGCTTAGTGTACACATGTTTCTCTTGTGTTATCTGTCTTGAAACGTATTTGCTTCATATCATTTTAGCACATAAACAAAGTTTAGAGTCAGCCTTCTTTCTATTAGTTGTAATTTATTTATTTTGTAAGTTATTTTACTTTAATATTATAGGCCAAGCATGTGTTTGATTTTTCTCTTGTTGTACAGAATAGCAATAGCACTTAGATTTATGCCAACCCATAATGCTTTACAATACACTCTGTATGGTTTACAATGTCAGCATATAGCTCCCAGCTGTTTGGGTCCTTCATTTTACTGACCCCAGAACGATGGAAGTTGAGTCAACCTTGAAGCTGTCAAGATTGAACTCCAGACTGTGGGCATAGTTAGCCTGTAATACTGCATTCTAACCTCTGCAACCACCACGGATCTTGTTTTTTGCAGAACTACTGTATATGAGAGCAGTACATATATTGAGACATGAGCCCTGCTGCCCCGCCTGCATTATTTAGTTTATTTTTCTATTTTGGTTGATCATAGACCTGCAGCATAGAATCCAAATAGCTTATTTCAATTCTGTACAATATTTCAAACACATGGTAACCTGTCCACACTAGCAGACCGTACCAAACTGTATCAATAAAAGAGAATATTTATAGTTCAGGGTTGAACTGTGCGGTCCTTGGTGCCTTCTGAGCTTGGTTGTTTTCTTACAGACATTTCATTCCCAAACTGGGTAACATCATCAGTGCTAATAGGGATTTGCTCTCATTTTATATACTAGTAGCTGGTAGTGGTCTTAGTGGTTCCTCGATTGGGCTGCTTTTACTGTTGGCTTGTTTGGCAGTTTCTTGATTGTGAGATTGTTTGCTTCTTGATTGATGGACTAATGCAGAGGTGTCAAACTCACGACCTGCGGACCAGAAGCATCACATGCTGGCCATGCCCACCCCTGGTTTAGCAAAGGGGGGGGAGGAGAGAATTGTGATATGTCATATGACGACAATGTGTCGTCCGTCACAAATTTGACACCCCTGGTCTAATGTTAATCTTGGTGTTAATCTTTGCAATCAATCCACATTCATGGCAAGAGATACTTCAGTTCCTACATGATTATCTCACTCACCTCAAGCCTTTCTCTTTTCCCCTGTTTCCACTCCCTAACCTGATCAACTCTTCTGGTAGGAAGAAGCGAATACACATATAATAAGCATTATGGGAATAAAGCTGATGCAGCTGGAGCTGCTGGTTTCCACCCCAGACAGAACTGTTTTGTCTATATTGATCTAGTATCTCCCAATCCTGGTTTCCACCCCAGACAGAACTGTTTTGTCTATATTGATCTGGTATCTCCAAGTCTAAAAGTTTTGAAGAAAGTAAATGCAGAAAACAATGGACTTACCAAAGGCCCCAATTATGAAATAATAGTTGAAGCAGGGCAGTGGTGGGATTCAGCTGATTTGGGTGAACCAGTTGTTTAATTGCTGGCTGGCCCCACCCCTTCCAGGAGTCCCCACACGGCCCGTTTTTGCTCCCAGGAGGCTGCAGAGAGGCCTACTAGGCCCCAAAATGGGGTCTTTGCTCCCAGGAGGGTGTGTTTCCTGTCACACCCCCTGGCCACGCCCACCGAGCCAGTCATTAGGGCAGAGAACCAGTTGTTAAATTATTTGAATCCCACCACTGCCCTGCTTCAACTATTATTTCATAATTGGGGCCTTTGGTAAGTCCATTGTTTT